TTAAGAGCTAACTCAAGTTCAGCCTCCTCTGTGGGGCCTTCTTCACTTTCTAAAGGCAGAGTTAGAGGCTCTACTCTTGGTATTCCCATTTTACTGTCAACACTTTTCTTATAGCATTTAATAGATTGTCCTGTAACTTATTGTTCACATGGTAGTAGATTTCCCCTAGATCACAAACTCCCTAAAAACTGAAATGGAATGAAACTATCTTATTCATCTTTGTATCTCCAATGTCTTGTCTATAGTTGATGTACAATAAATGCTTGTTGGATGATTAATAAGTGAAAATATAAATTGATTTATTCATTAAATAAATATTTATCAAGTACCTACTGTATGCTAGGTGTTTTAATAATGAGGATTCAGAAGTTAAAACAGTCTCTTACCTTCTTCAGACTTACATTCTAGTGGTCGTGAAGGCCAGGTATAGACTATGAAGAATACAGAAGAATGGAAAATGATGGAGGCTTTAGTTTAGATTGGTGGTCAGAAAAAGCTTCACTAAGGAGGTCACAGCTAAATAGAGACCTGAGTTAAATAAATTATCAATCTGGTTTATGGATGAGCATTCCAGTCTGATAGATCAGCCAATTTAAAGACTTAAAAGGAAGAACATGCTTAGAATGCTCAAGAAACAGCAAAGGAGGTCAGCCTGGTTAGAGCTTGGTGAACAAGAAGGAATGTGATAGGAGATGGGATTGGCAGATATTACTAGATGGGATAGGCCAGATCACATTTGGACATGATAAAGGTTTTGGATCTTATTCTAAGTGTGATAGGAGGCCAAATGCAGAGTGTTAGCAGGAGAGTAACATGATGTCATTTGTCTTCTGGAGGGCTCAATCTGCCTATGTGAGTGAGACTAAAAGGGGCAAAAATGGAAACAATAAGAACAGTCAGTAGGCTATTTTCATGCTCCAAGTGGGAGAAGATGGTGGCTTGGACTAGAATGTACTGAATAATTTTATGGGACTCTTTGGGAATAGGAGGTGGTGATATAAGCTTTTAAGATTCTAAGCTTGCACCTCAAACTTAAGCATTCAAGTAGATCAAAATTTAAACATAATTCAGGTACATGTATGTAGTAGAATAATGGGCTAAGAAATAAAAGAACTTGTTTCTTAGTCCCAGATCTACTTTTAAGTAGGTGTGTGACCTTAGGGAAGTCTCTTATTTTCTATGGACCTCAGTGTTTTCAGATATAAAATGATGGTTCGAATTAGTTTCTCTCTAACTGTAAAGGTCCCTGATTTTATAATTCCATGAAAAAGTCAATATGTATTGAACGTGTCAACCTAAATAACAAGGACTCTCTAAAAGAAAGTAACATTTATTTTAGAATAGGGCATTGCAGTGCTAGTATAGGTGCTATAGTAAACGATGTGCGTATTCGGGGGGTAAAGGAAGACAAAGGTTTTTAAAAGAAAAATGGGGAGAATTGCCTAATTGTTTTGAAATCCTTATCCTTGTGTGCCAGTCTGTGGTTGGATAGGCAGTTGCTGGGTAGATGTCCTCGCAGTATTTTTCATGTAAGATTGCAATGGCCGTTGTGCAAAGTGGTGGTTTTGGCAGAGTCTTTTGTGATAGCTTTTGCTATCAGGCATTTATGCATGAGGACCATCTCTTTATGGCTTTCCCTTGCTCCATTTGTCAGGGTTGGTTTTTGTTTGTTTTTTTGTTGTTTTAAACAGAAATGTCTTCATTTTGATTCTGACAACTTTCACAAATCCTTATTGTGTTTTGAATACCAAATGAAGCACTTTAGTGGATTCAGAGGCACTCAAAGACATTCTTGCCCATAGGGTACTTACATTTATAAAAGATTTTGCAAAACAATTGCTTGCAATATGAGATCATAAATTGAATACAAAAGTGTATAATGCAGGTTGCAAATTCTATGGAAGTTTAGAAAAGAGAATAATTAACAAAGACTGAATTAGCCATGGAAGTAGTAGATACTTGATCGGAAACTAGGTAGGATTTAGTTAAATGGATAGAGGGGAAGGGCGTTCTGGATAGAGAATAAGACATGTACACAAAGGAAGTCTTTAATGAGCATAGCATCATATGGAGTTATGGCAAAGAGAGATTCAGTTAAAGTCCAGCCTGCCTGTATTGGAAGTTATATGAACAATGGGAAAATAGGATTGGGCCATAGAAGACACTGAAATCTAGGCAGAAGTGTTTAGCTTTAATGAAGGCAGGAACTGGGAGCCATAGTAGATTCTTCCGTAGAATGATAGAAATAGTATTCAAGAAAGGTTAGTATAATGCCATGTACTTTGAGAAAGGTGTGAAACTACCTTGTTCCAGGTAGCATGCAGGCATTTTGCTTACCTTTTTATTTAATCATCAATCTTTGGGAACAAGGATCCTATGCCTCATAAGTGATTTGAGCCAGGATTTGAACCAATGTCTGCCTGACTCTAGAAAGTTAGATGGGAGAGTCCTCAGTCAGGAAGCATTAGCTGCAGTAAACCACCTATGAGGTAGTGAGGATTATACCCAGTAGCAGTGGGAATGGAAAAAGAAGAGATGGAGCTAAGAGAGAATTTTTTAAAGAACTAGTTGACTGATACATATATAGGGAATGAAAGAGAAAATAAATGTAAGAAGACATTGAAGTTTTATGTAGCAAGTGAAGATTACCATGCTTTGTGGTGGTTGTTGGGGGTAGAGACAGATAGGAGGGACTGGAGAGACAAATAATATCTGATTTGGGACTGTCAAATTTTAGACGTCATTAAGCATTTAAATAATAAGTAAAGACATAGGAAGATTTCAGGATTTGAGACTCCTCGACTTATTAGATGGTTGAAGGCTTGAGAATGAAGAGGTCTTCTAAAAGAGAAAGGATCATGAAAGAAGTGCAAACGACTTTGAGACATAATGCCCAAGCTTATCATGTAGGTTTAGGAAGAGGAAAGGTATCAAACAGGTGTCCAACTATTGTTATATTATACAATCCAAATTGCTGAGACTCAACATTGATGTTCTCAGATTTGCATTTTGACCTCTGCCAGAACTAGATTTTGCTTATATGTTTCTACTAAAAATGGAATAAATATAAATGAATTTCAGTGCATAATCAAGTTTTTCTAAATAGCCGATTCTTTGGTCCTTTCTTTCTTTTTGAAATGGGGTCTTGCTCTGTCACACAGGCTGGAGGGCAGTGGCGCCATCATCGCTTACTGCAGCCTTAAACTCTTGAGCTCAGGCAATCCTCCAGCCTCAGCCCATCAAGTAGCTAGGACTACAGGCACACCACCATGTTCAGCTAATTTTTAAATTTTTTGTGGAGACAGGGTCTTGCTGTATTGCCTAGGCTGGTCTCAAACTCCTGGCCTTCTGCCCTGACCTCCCAAAGCACTGGGATTATCAGTTGGTCTTTCAGACAGGATTTGTTAGTTTATTTTTATGACCCTATTCCAGTATATCTTTGGTGAATGTTCTAAAGAGCACTTTTAATTTGTACTTATATTACTGACTCAATTCTTCTGTGAAACATTCAAAAGCTGGGATTTGACAACAAAAGCATAGGCAACAAAAGAAAAAAAACTGATAAATCAGACTTCATCAAAACTAAAAACTTACATCAATAGATGCTATAAATGAAGTAAAAAGCATACAAAATGGGAGAAAATATTTGCAAATTATATCTCTGGTAAGGAATTAATATTCAGAATTTGTAATAACAACAGAAAAACCAAACAACCCATTTTAAAATGGGTAAATGGATATTTCTCCAAAGAAGATATACAAATGGCTGATAAGCATGCGAAAAGATTGCTCAACATCAGTAGTCATTAGGGAAATGCAAATCAAACTACAATGTGATAACACTTCATGTTCATTAGGATGGCTATTACTTTTTAGAAATGGAAAATAACAAGTGTTGTCAAGGACATAGAGAAGTTGGAATCCTGTGCATTGTTGGTGGGAATGTAAAATGGTATAGCCACTGTGGAAAACAGTTTGGGCACTCAAAAAATTAAATATGAAGTTACCATGTGATCCAGCAATTGTACTTCTAGGTAGATACCCAACCAAACCGAAAGTAGGGATTCAAACAGATACTTGTAGGTCAGTGTTCACATTAGCACTATTCACAGTAGACAAAGGTGTCAACAATCCAAATGGCCATCAACAGATAAATAGGGAAATAAAATGTGGTGTATTCATACAGTGGAGTATCATTCAGCCTTAAAAAGGAATGAAATTACACAACATACCACAATATGCCTGAATCTTGAATGCATTATGCTCAGTGAAGTATATTGTATGATTCCACTTACGTGAGGTATCTAGAATAGGCAAATTCATGAGTACAGTAGTAATTATGAATTAGTACTATGGTATGAATAGTAGTACTCATGAATTTGCCTATTCTAGATACCTCATGTAGGTACAATAGAGGTTGCCAGGACTGGGGAAAGGGGGGATGAAGAGTTCTGTAAATGTATAATGGTGGTGGTTGCACAACACTGTGAACATTCTTAGTGCTATAGAACTGTACACTTAAAAATTGTTAAAATGGTGAATTTTATGTATATGTATATGTATATTTTGCCATAATTTAAAAGAAAAAACTAATGGCTCTTGTACAAGGTTTATAGACATCATTATGCCCATTATAATACAAAGTGTAAATGTGTTCTGTCTTAAAGGTGCTCTCTTTTATATATTTAGTTGTTTTCATCACCATATTCTTTGTTATGCATTTGTTGATAGTTCACCTATCTTAATCCTTATTTTAAAAGCAACTAGCAGCCTTCTGCTTCATCAATTTCTGTTGCTTGATCTTTAATTACCTAAAACTTTAAGTTATTTTGAATAATTTTTGCTCTTAAAATAACATTTGTATGTATGTCTATATTAAAATCAGTACTAATCGTATTTTTATAAGCATTAAAACTATAATATATTCATTCTCTTGTTAAGAACTAAGAAATCCAGCTGTCACAGAAAAGTCTTCCCTCATTACAGTATTTTGCTTGCAGGATGAAGATGAGCTGGATTCCCACACCATGGTAAAGACTAGTGTGGAGAGTGTGGGCACCATGCGGGCCACAAGCACGATGAGTGAAGGGGCCCAGACCATGATTGAACATAATAGCACCATGTTGGAATCCGACTTGGGGACCATGGTGATAAACAGTGAGGATGAGGAAGAAGAAGATGGAACTATGAAAAGTATGTGGCTTTTTTACATTGAATATTTGTTTTCTAATTTGAAAGGATACTTTTATAGGAACCAAGCTAGTTCTGTGTTACTTTTTATAGCCAATTGTGGAGAATTTTGTTTCTTAGATTTACGTAACAGTAAAAAAGAGTATGGCACAAGTCAACTTTTTAAAATTGTATTTTAATATAGCAGAAAGCAACACATCTTCAACTTAGAGATATGGAACTGTTTTCTGTTGAAGGTTGCTAACCCACTGCTTAATTTGCAAAGTATTTTAGAGAGAAAAAGATAATGTTCCTAACATTTACTTTTCCAATTAAAAAAGTGAACCTAAAATTATCTTCCAATAAATTCAACAGACTGTTATTTTGTGTTGTCCAAATTATCAGTTAAACCACAACGACAGAGCAGTGCAAGCTATGGGAAGAAATAAGGTGGGAAAATAAGAAACACTAGAAAGAAGGATTAAGAGACAGGGATACTCATACAGAAGATTCAGTTCCATGAGTATTTACTGCTGCTTACCATATGTGAGGCACAGTGCGGGGGGTGCTGCAGTGGCTAAAAGGATGATCAAACATTCTCTCTGACCTCTGTTGCTTACAGAGTGATGACAATAGGAATGCTTTCACAGACTAGCACTTCTCTTTTTTAAAAATAGTTTTTTAAGATAGTGCAGTTAACATTGTAGGTCATTGTGATTTCACAATTATAGGCAAAAACGAATTTTCTCTTAGCACCAACTGACCTTTTTCTTCCTGTCCTGGTCCTACCCTAGTCCTGTGTGGTTAGTGCCAAAGTCTAAGCAAGCACTAGGCTGCTTTCCACTGAAGAGTATTGCCTCTCAATGGTAGAAAAGCAGAATTACATGACTTCTAGCATTGTAGAACCTAGAAGACTGTAAATATTTAAGTAATTTGCTGGTACTGCAAAATGGGTACCAGGATTTTCTCTCAGATACTTCCATTTCCTTTTTGCTCACCCTTTTCTTTTTGCTACTCCCCCTTTGAAGTTTGACCCATAGCTTCAAGTCACATGGCTCAGTACTGCTGCTTTTTCACATTTCCTAGTTCTGTGTAGCCCATTATGGTTGCATATGTACTTTGGATAGAGAGAGCATGAAGCACAAAATGTAAATAGATTGCTATGTTGCCATAATCCTGGGGGTGGAGTATGAATTTTCTATCTCCTGCCATTGGTGGGTCTTCTGAGCCTTTTACCCAGAAAGCAGCCTAAATCTTGGATTTCCTGAAATTACCAGCGGGGCACCTGACTAGAGTAAGTTTTCTGCATCCGTAACGTGCCTCACTACACTGCAGAGGATGGTCTTGTGGCCTCCAGAACCAGCCAGTGTTAGGGTACAAGTGGATCACAAAGACTCTGTGGTAAAACAGTTAACACATTTTTCATCCACATGTAATATCAATTTTCCATAAGCTGATATAATTTTTTAACTCAAATTTTATGATTCTTAACAGATCAATTAGATCATGAGTGCTGTTTTGTATCTTTAGAGAGTTACTGAGCTCCTCATGAAGCTGTATAAACAACTTTTCATGCAGTCATATAGTTGAACATCAGCATATATATAGTAGTTAAGAAAAATGAGTCTTTATAGAATCGAATTCATTTGGATTGCAGTGTATTATATTTCAAAGAAGAGAGAGCAATGATGATGTTTCCAACATCATACTTTAAAATTACACCACAGATGTCTACACATTTTGTGTATGACATCCACAAAAATCAATATATGTTATAATTTTGTTGTAACTGAATATATAGGTATGACTTTTTGTCACAGAGGTTTTATTGAAAGCCCATTTTGAAGTTGAGCAGATAGTGGTTTTTGTAACTGCAGTTGTTTTATGGACCTCGGCGAGTTTTAAATCCCAGGAGCCAACTTTCTTTGTTTTTTGTTTCTGCAAGTTAGACGTCATTCTGTAATGTAGGACTTCAGTGTTTCCAAAATTCTAATCAAGTGATGTTAGTATAACCCCTAGGGATTGTCATATTGTAGTATGGTAGTAGTAAAGAATGTGAAGAAGTTACTGAGGGAAGACTTAACTTTTTCTGAAACCACATAATTATTGTAGTTTTGTTTTTCTCATGATCTAAATCTTTAAAACTTCTTAAATTAGTTGGTATGAGGTCTCAGCTTATGTCACATCAGTCAAAACCACATTTGCTAATGTGTCTTTAGCGTTTTTGTTCCCTAATAAGATGATAGCAGTTTATTATTTTTGTTTTTCTAAAATCTCTACAATATGTACTGAAGATTTTGATTTTCATCTCTTTTCCCATTGGAGTTTCAAGTGAGTTGTCTGATTTAACATCCTTGTCAGTTTAAATTATGTTTACACTTTCTCTTTTATACCTTTAACCATGAAGCTGGAAATTATGGGCCTATTTTCCTTACCTCTAGGAAGGAAAATTCCTTACCTCTAGGAAGGAAAACCTTCCCTTTGAAGGGAAGCGGAGAAAAATGACAAAAAATATTTTAAAATTTGATCTGCCTTTTTAAAAATGGACATGGACCCTATGGGCATGTCCCAAGAATAACTTTCTAAACCTGTTTTTAGCAATGATGGCATTACTTTTACCCTCCCGCTCCCGATCTTCCTATTCATATATCCATCAGGCCTCCTCATTCCCCAAGGGATATCCAGGCTTCAGCTGTGTCACCAAGATCCTTCACAGTCTGGCACTAGCCAGTATTTACATGTGGATCTCTACTTCTTCCTTACAGATTATGCTTTATCCATACTAGTCTGTGACAGTTGGAATTCTGAATGGTTGACACGGGGTTTAAGCAGGTTGGTTGTCATTTAAGAAAATCAACTGTTAGGATTTCTTATCCTGGAGTAGATTAGGACCAGGTCAAGAATCTGTGTCATCAGATTGATGGGGTAGGAGAGATTATTTCATCATGAATGACTGGGAGAGTAGTAGCTTCAGCAAAGACAAGACTGGGGCTTTTTCGTTTGTTCAGCTCAGTTCTACTCATCTTAGCTCTGTTTTTATGGAGGAACTCTCTGATCTTACAGAGCTGTGGCTATATTGGTAGCACTAGTTGCCCTGGAGGGAAACTATATCTTATGGGTATCTGAGGAAGAGCCATACTTTCCAGCCAGGTTTTTATTTTTCTTGTGTGTTTCTGTTTTTTCCCCAGATAAATTATGAAGTTTGTCCTGGTAAGAATGCTGTATAAATCTCCTCTGCCACATAATAGTACATGCTCTTGGAATATTGGTTTCATGAATGAATACTAATTACAGTAGAGTCAGAGTCAAGCTGTGTGTGTGTGTGTGTGTGTCTGTGTGTGTCTGTGTGTGTGTATGTGTGTTATAGTAGAATTAAAGATACATTGCTCTGGAAGCTAAGAGAACTTTCAGGTAAACCTCCTGCCTTAGTAAGCTACTTTCTTTTCAAGTGTTCTACCATCCCTACTTCTCATTTCATAGAGCACACCTTCTGAAAATGTGTTCCTTAAGATACCCATTCAGTGAAATTCTCTGATAAATATAGATAAATAATATACAATAATCAGAAGTATTTGGGAAATGCATATTTATCCTAGAGATAAATTATTACAGAACAACAGTATATATTATTAACTTATTAAATGCAAATAGTACGGGAAGAAAACAGTTTAAAAATTACATTACCCAAGGTTTCCTTCACTTACTTGACCATGAAAAGCTTTTAATGAGGAACTTGTCAGTGATTAACATCCTGTGTAATAAGTATCTGAGAAACACATTTTGGGAAATGCTGTCATGAGGGCCCTCTAGTTCCCTGACCCTAGTTCCTAGTCTGCTTTCTTTTTATTAGCACACCCTCCCTTCACTTCTATATCCAGCTTAGAGGCTATATTTCGTTGCTTCTGCCACTCTCTTATATTCTAAACTCCTCTGCCCTAATATCTTGTCTTTTCTGCCTCTCCTGGAAAACTTTGATATGGTCCAGTCTCTGTGTTCATCTTCTGTGCATCTTTACCCTGGCTATTGAGTGCTGCTGGAGATAATCTTCCATCTGTACAGATGAGGGCTACCAGATCAAGACCTTCTGCCCCATTTGGGCCCTCAGAACTTTCCTGGAAGCCTGTGTTTTTCGGTTCTGCAATTCCTCATTCTACAGAGTGGCTAGTTTAGATCTTCACTACATCTCTTCTTGCTACCTCCCATCTCAGTTTCAGTAGATGACCTTGCTCCCTACTTTATAGAAAAAAAATGAAATGTTATAACGCGAGTACCTAGAGAAGTTGTGTAGGTGTTTTAAATGTGGTCTTTGGAATAAGGTTGAAAAATTGAGTCATTCTTAATTTCCGTTTCTTCCTTCACCCTTCATGGAAGTAACATCTCATCAGTTCTGCCCTCTAAATATCTCTGTCCTCTTCTCATGATCTCGGCTTGCATTTCTTTAGTGCAAGTCCTCATAGTTTCTCACTTGTGAGGCTTCTAAGCTGATCCTCTGCCTCCAATCTTCATTCCCTACCCACCATACAGATTTCAGCACATTTCTCTTCTGCTTATGACCTCCCAGTGACTACCAATTGCTTATAGGCTAAAACTCAACACCAGTTAAGAAGCAGTATATGCTCTGGTTACTACTTACCTTTCTATTCCCTCTTCATCCTTCTTCCAGCTTCTCAGCTCTTACAGAGCTTTTTCTTTTTCTTTTTTTTTTTTTTGAGACGGAGTCCTGCTCTGCCACCCAGGCTGGAGTGCAGTGGCCGGATCTCAGCTCACTGCAAGCTCCGCCTCCCAGGTTTACGCCATTCTCCTGCCTCAGCCTCCCAAGTAGCTGGGACTACAGGCGCTCACCACCTCGCCCGGCTAGTTTTTTGTATTTTTCAGTAGAGACGGGGTTTCCCCGTGTTAGCCAGGATGGTCTCGATCTCCTGACCTTGTGATCCGCCCGTCTCGGCCTCCCAAAGTGCTGGGATTACAGGCTTGAGCCACCACGCCCGGCCTACAGAGCTTTTTCACCTTTGGCCTCTTGCAAT